CACTATGCCATGCACTGTCCTTTGTCCCTTTAGAGCAGGAAAACAATTGCCTGTCTCTGGTGAGGGCCTAATCTTGCACTATTGGGACTCCCTGGGAGTTTGGCCACTCTCTTTAATGGGAACAGGATGGGGCCCTTACAGCGCAGTGGAGAAGTTCAAACCAAATAGGAAACATACACTCCAATTTGTATGCTCTGGCAATTCTTTTAGAAATAACAGTGGAGGCTGTATTTATCCATGACAGGGAGGGCAAGGAAGAGGGGAAAGTGCCTGGCCCTGAGATTCTGCAGCTACAGAAACTGGAGTTGCTTTTCTCACAACTTTCCAGGCCTGTGTGTGTGTATATTTTCATGTTTGTATCACCCAACCAAAGACAGTCTGTTGGGTTTGTTTTTCCTTCATATGTTTGTGTGGTGGTAATTGAGGGCTTAGTTTTCATGGTAGCGGAGAGAAGAGAGCAGAACCTCTTTTTAATATCGCCATAGTGGATATCCAAATGACTCCTATCTGCCTGGAACAACCAAAGGTTATACTGGCTCAGTGATCGGTTCTGTGTGAGTAGACATACAACCTTTTAAAAGGCCACTGAAACAGATTATCTTTGCTCCCTGGTTCTTTCCCCTGCCCCCACCTGGAGACTTCAGAGAAGAATTATTTATGTTTGGGGTTTGTTTTTAATTTCCTTTGGGGGTCAGTACCTGAGCTAAGAAGAGTCGGTATAAAAATAATTCAAACACAGAGCCAAAAAGCATGGGCCAAACTGCACACTGCCATGTTTTACAGCGTGCATTCTGTCAGTGGTGGCATTTAGGAGGAGAGGAGCGTTTTCTGAAAAAGCATAGAGAACCAAAATTGCTCTGTTACAAAACAGAGGCAGGGAAAGGGCAGATTAATTTAATAGTTCAAGTCTATATTCACTGTGTCAGAGACATGGAAAATACATCTTGTTAAATTTTGAGTGATGGTAGTGGTCAGAGTTTTAGGATCTCCTTCAAGTGCCCAACTCAGCTGGCCCTACACAAACAATAAATAATCTGTTTAAAAGCAGTAAGCATCAATTGTCCATCATTTGTCTATCACTATTAAATGTAGTATTCATTGTGGCTATTGAGGTCTATCTTTGGCTAATTTTCAGGTAATGACCAATGAGGGTGGGGGTTTGCACTTAAAAATATTTTGATTCCCACCCCCCTTAACTTGATGTTTCAAAGGGATTAATGAATTGGGGGCCGATCCTGCTTCTATTTCCCTAAATGAGTTTTGTTAAAAGTTGCAGTGAGGATAGAATGAGAGCCAATATTTGTGTAATAACCAGGATCTGGAAAAAAAAAACAACCGAATTATTCCGAGACAAATCTCTGGTTTCTGCTCTGGGGTTGGAATGAAAGCGGGAAATAAAGATTTCCAGAGAGGCAAATCCCATCGTTCTATTTTTGTTTGATTTTTACACAAGCTAGACACATGTAGCAGTTTCTCTTCATTGTATCATTTTCTGCACCAACTAATGGAGCCGATCCTCTCCTCCTTTGCTCACGCAAACCTCCCCCACCCACACCGAAAACGGGGACTAGGTCTATGCTGGACACTCAGGATCGTGCCCCCAAACCATATCACAAGTATCCGCGGGAGATCGAGCCTTGGTCTCCAGAATTTAGAGAGTGGGGAAACTATGTTTTCGATGACATGCGAAGCCCTGGATATTTATCCCGGTCACAAACTTCCTGATCTTTTGATTTATTAGAAAAAGCTTCGTTAAAGTAGCGATTCCTGTGCCTAAGAAAGCGATTGATAGCCCAAGTTTTGCAGCCTTCACAAAATCTCACGTTTCCTTTGCGATTTCTGGTTTGTAGGGAGGCAAACCAGAAAAGGTAGGGCCCGATCCCGCAAGTGTTGAGTTCCACGGGAGTAAACAGCGTTGAGCAACTAGGGGACTGGAGCTGGGGGAACAGGCTGTGGGACAGCTCGGAAGGTTTCCTGCCCTGTTACAAAACACACTGCGGCCACTGTAACTTTGGTCCCACCCGGCTTTGTCACCCGCTCGCCCTGAATTTCCCTTCTGGGCAATGTAGCCTCTCAGACTTGGAAAATTACGCCTCGCTGCTGAAAGGAAAATAACGCTATTGTCAAACCATTTTAAATCGCCAGTAGAGAAGAAATCAACAAAGTTATTGGTGATACTTTTAAAAATGACGAATGAATAAAGACATCATCCAGCGCATTACTTTTTTGTACGTCAAATTATTGCTGTACACGTTGTTTCATAAAAATATTGTAAGTGAGCATCATGCCATGCTTAGTTATACAAAGGCGGGTTTGTCTGTCTTTTTTTTTTTTTTAATAAGAAATGTTTTGTTGTTGTTTTGAAGACTACATAAAACAATTTTATTTATTGCGTAGAAACAAGATTAACCTCTGGGGACCCCAAATATAATGTGTTGCAAGTTGTATTTTTAGCTGCTGAGGGATATTTTCAGACAATGCCGAGCTCTTCATTTCCTCCGGTTTACTTAAAACAAGGATACAGAGAGTTAGAGGTCACCGTTTACTCACAGCTTTTACAGACCACCACTCCCTAACCTTTTGTTTCAAACCAAACAAAAGTAGAAACGTAACAAAATAGAGAGTTTGATCTACTTTACACTTCTCTGTTGCTAGAAGCATTGATCAAACTCATTGTTTATATTGGCTCACGAAGGGATACAAATCACACAATTTCTTAAAAAAATAAATAAATGAAACACTCCCCCCCACCCCCCCGACACATACCCCGACTGACAACGGTTGCTCTTTGGTTGATGCCCCTCGATCTGAGTAATACACAAACTCTGTCTCCCACTTGTGTGTTAGGAATCGGTTCCCATCCTGGGATTTGGATCCTTTTCTACCTAATTGCTGCGCCGAATCTGCAATTCTGACAACATTGCAGGTTAAATTTAATTAATAGCGTACTTAAGATATATTGGATGTTTTGTGTGAAAGACAAACTGATTTTCCCTCTTCCTTGAGTTGTCGATTTCATTAGAGAACTACCATATGCAATTCACACAACCCACGAGGCTTCAAAAGCGCCTTTAACCTCCTTCTCCTTCTCCTTGCGTTGTTAACGGCTTAAGTGATCTGTGCCAGACATGTTTGTGAAGCCTAAATCACAAATTTGGTAAAAAGTGGAATTGTAGCCACTTTGTCCAAAAGGAATAAAGGAATCAAATTAAAATGGCAGCTGGTTTTCCTGATAAGATCTTTTTCCTATTTCAGTACAAACAGAATGAACTCTTCTGATTTTTAAAAAATATTTTCTTGTGGAATAAAATTAGTCAGAATTGGCTTGTTCACCTATTTTCTGTATGTCATTTAATTCAACGGTGGGGGAAATGTTTATGTTTCAAGAGAGGAAAAGAACAGTGTAGTTCACAGGGGATCTGACTTTTATTTACTTTGTCAATTTTGGGGGATACAACTCCTATTTCAAGAGATTTAGCAACCAACATAATTTTAAAAAACGGTGTATGACTTACTTATAATTATTATTTAGTCTTGGGATCACCATCATTCTGAACTGCTAGTCCTCCGCCAAACCTCCACTCCAAAAATCATTCCTAACAGATGCGCCGCATAAGTATTGTTATATTCGGGAGAGAAACAGATGTAGATTTTAGGGAGAAAAGGAAAGGAGTCACAGGAAGGGGATTAGACCCGTGTGGACTCCTTTTGCTTCATAGTGAAGCCGTGACCAAATGGCCGCTAGTGGGCGCTGTGGCTCTGTGGAAATGTACAAGGGCGTCTGAGACCTACACGTTCGGATCTCTCTCCAGGGCCCCGAGGAATGATCAGAGTGCAAACGCTCGTTCTTGAAGGCTTCCCCAGCCACCTACTCAGTTTTTACTTTTTGTGCCTCTTTCCACTTTCGATCGGATTTGTTCTTTTTGAGCCCTGTGTAAAAGAACCTTTGGGAGAGTCTGACCCCCAAGGAGACAGCTAGTGTTGACTCTAATTTGGCATTTCTTGCCTCGTTGCAAAAAGTTGCCCGGTGCTGTTGAGATTCTCAGGATCTGGAGAGGAGTATTGACCGAACAACCCTCATCATTACAAATATGTAGACGTGAAGAAAGTGGCACTGAGTGACAGACAGGGAAGGGCGAGAAAATTCACACCCGAGTTGAGAGTCTCTAATTATCTGTTGCAAATTCAGGCTCCACATCTCTTTGAAGTGGCTTTGCATTTCCAAATCCTGTTTATTTAGGACTGTCCGTGGCTAATTGTTTTGTAACAAAATAAACTTTGAAAACTGTAATTAAGAGACCCCGTGGGAAATGCTGACAGCCAGGATCAACGTGACAGGATGGAGAGAAAAATACTGACTGAAAATACAAACATGTGGGGGTAAAGGCCCGGGAGGACGGAGAGCTATATCTCATTATTTCTATTATTAAATTATACAGTATATGTGGCTTCATATGATAAACTTGACGTGAAGTTACATAATAGCGATTCTCCCAGTGAAACGTAATTAAAGTCAGGAAGCACGACCTGCAAATGGGGAAATATAATTACTTCGCAAATAATAAGGTTGGATGCAGAGAGGGATAAATTTCACTCTGATCCTTTTTATCCCATGCATAACGTTGCCAGTACCTCGCAGCCATAAACATTGCTTGAGCCTTTATGACAAGACGTGTAAAAGTTTTTTTTTTTAATTGTTCTAGTTAATACTGTAATCGGGTGGAAAAGTGTTAAACGGTGGTTGGAGTCTCATCCTGCATTGTATTATTCTGATCATGAACATAGCGATGGTGTTTTTTAAAATTATTGTTCATGTTATTAACAGTAAGATTATATTATAGTGTTTTAAGAGATCACCTGTCACACACAAGGCCCACCCGAAGACAGAACGTCGAGGGCTGAGGTGTGTAAGTGACACACGCGACATCCAACCAGAGCCTCCGCTCCTCCAGCAGCCCTATGAGCGCGGGCTGAAGGGGAGGATGGGCTGAGTTTATATTGCTATGGCAGCACGCTAGGAGCGGTTCAGTGAAGACTCCAAGCGGCGGCCGCAGCGGCGACTTGGAGCCTGAAGGAGCAGGGGAGGGAAAGGCTGCAGCTCGTCCGGCTCTTTCTCTCCCTGCCTCTCTCTGTCTCACACACGCACAAGCCACCTACTCAGCAGCAGCAACCTGGGCACTCCAAGCCAAGGGGCTCCTGCCTCTTTCTCTGGGTCTGCCCGCTCGCCACCCAGCGCTGGGCACGTACTGCAGCTCTCGAGTGGAAGAAGCAAGAAGAGGGGAGATTTTGACGCTAGGAGTCCGAGTCGTCCCCCCCCCCCCCCCCCGCATCTCTGCACACAGCGGGGACAGCACCCCCGCGCCGGGAGTGGCCATGGAACCCCGCGGATGCGCCTTCCAGGGGCCCCGGGAGCTGCTACTCGAAGTGGATTTATAGAGCGAAGCTTCCCTTCGCCGTCCCCGCACAGCCCGGGCCGGTGGCCGCACGGATTGCACGCGGCGGGGACCAGGGAGCGCAAGCAGAGACCCAGGGGGATCCTCCTGGCGGAGGCCGGGTCCCTTCTCCCCTTTAATCGCCCCCATCTCCAGTTCTGCTCGGTTTTTATTTTACGCGATCCCCAGGCGCCGTGGCCGTGGATGGCGCACTGGATCCAAAGCGGAGTTGGCAGTTTGAGTGGCGTCTTGCAAGGCAGCCGGGAGCCCCCGAAGAGCAGGGAGGACTGAGGCGTTTGCATTGGTGGTGGCGTTGTTACTTCGGAGGTGGCTGGATTCTTATCTCGCAGGAGAATTTCCGACATGCCTGGGGCACAAATGACTCAGTAACGCTGCTTGCAGTTCTCACCAAGTGCTTCGTCGCTCGTCTTGGTGTTGGTTTGTTTCTGGTCAGTCTGTCTTGTTGGGGGGGTAGCGAGCGTCCACCCGCCCCCGCTGACCAGGTACGGGGAGTCGCACGGAGGAGTTGGAGAGGTTTTGGCAAGGGACTTGGAGCCGCTGTCGACCATGGCTGTGCGGAGGGGCGACTCCTCCCTTTGGAAGTACTGCTGGGGAGTTTTGATGGTTTTATGCAGAACTGCAATGGCCAGATCGATAGTTTTAGACCCGATATATTGGAATTCCTCCAACCCCAAGTAAGTTTGCCTCATTCTGCTTCATCCCTCCCCGCTACCCCTCCCCCTCCCTCGGGATCTGATTTAGTTTTAATGGCACAGCCAGCCAGCGAGGCCGACGTGGGTCCGTGGAGAGCGCTGCGCTCCCAGCTCTCAGGGGGCTGAGCTCCCGGCGGCGCCTGCTCTCACCCCCAGGGCCTGGTGCTGCCCCTGGGGTACTGGCTGTGATTAACCGGGCACCACATGCGGAGCACAGTCCGGGCAGGGCACGGGCAGCGGGATCCTTGCACTCCTCCTTACCCACCTTCCGTGGCTCCCTGGGCGCCGAGGCGATCCCGCGCCTTGCTCCCTCCCTGCGCTCAGGGCGCTCTCCGGGTTAGAAACTCTCCGACGCCCCAGTGCACTTCAGGATCTTGCCGCCCATTCAATACCCCGAAGACACCGCGGGGTGGTGGTGGGTTGGATTTGTGCAGCAAGTCTGTCTCACCGGGGAAGGTATCACGGTAGACCTTGTCTGGCTTCTGTTTCTCTGCAGGACAAATATAGACACTGCCATTGGGCCAGCTCCCGCAGTGCCTGGCCGGGGGGCCGCTCCCAGGGAGAGGCAATGCTTTATGACTTGGAAGTCAGTGGGCGTTTTGCCTGAGCAAGAAGTCCAAGGATCCTGCCAAGGCTCTGGGGCAAGAGGAGATATGGGTGACAGAAGAGTAAGGGCGGATCCCTAGAATGAAGGCTATTGCTGTTCCTGGGAGTTTTGCCGTTGACTTTAATGGGGCCAGCAGACTTCCCCTTTAGACTGCATACTCGATGGGGACAGGGGCCATGGCTTCAGATGAGTTTGCAGTTGCACAGCGCCTAACGCCAAATCTGACTGGGCCCCCTGAGGGCTACAGGAATTGTAAGAATGATTGGATTCCTGCTGGGCGCTATTCTCCCAGCAGTGGGAGAGGGCACGACTGAGTACAGAGCCTCTGGGCAGATGAGCCTTATCATACTGATCCCCAGCAGGGCCAGATCCAGCGGGGCTCGTTGCCAACTCTTGTAGCTCCTCACCTCCAGCAAAGCAGGGAGTGCAGATTCGTCCCACTTCCCCTTGAGCAGCGCTACTTTATGCACTCTGGGAACTACTGCTCAACTTCTCCATGTGACAGGTTTCAGAGTAACAGCCGTGTTAGTCTGTATTCGCAAAAAGAAAAGGAGGACTTGTGGCACCTTAGAGACTAACCAATTTATTTGAGCATAAGCTTTCGTGTGCTACAGCTCACTTCATCGGATGAAGTGAGCTGTAGCACACGAAAGCTTATGCTCAAATAAATTGGTTAGTCTCTAAGGTGCCACAAGTACTCCTTTTCTTTCTCCATGTGGAGATGCAGGGCCAGATTCAGCCGGTTGCCTTCAGTGAAGTTGCACTGGCTGACAGCAGGGCTAAATTTGGCCAGTGGACTTGGTGATAGCAAGGCACATGCTTGTGAGTAATGTACTGAGTATTGTCCATCAGAGAGCATTTTCATGTCCCTAGTCAGAGCAGGCAGAAAGTATATGTGTTCCAAGATTTAATTATTAAGGCACATTCTTAAAATATAGTCCTGTTCTTTGAAAGTCTCTTGCTTAGGTGTATAGAGATTGTTACTTTTGGAAATAGGGATGTTATTTGCATAAGAAATCCTGGTGAAGAGAAAGCTAGGCAATGATGCAAAGAGAGCCTTTCTTGCTTTAAAACGTGTATTGTTCCAACCTGTTTTATTTATGGCACTGATGCATTTATCTGAAGTTGGCTTTGATAAACTTTGAAACCCGTCAAAAGTTTTGTGATATGGAAAGATTTTCTTTAACACAGTTTGAACTCCCCTCTCACAGTATTATCAGGAAGGATAGTTTGATAATGAGTTTAGAAAGTTTTATGCCAAAAATATTATTTAATGTATAATTTTAATTAAATGTGTTTTAAAAACAAACCAGACACATAGAAGATCATTAATGTAAATTTCAGCATACTCACTTTGTGTATTAACTGAATTCAGGATTTCCCATTTACTCCATTTAGTGAATATCTGTAAAAGTGCCCTTAGATGAACAAGACATATTGGAAAGTGCACAGAGAAGAAGAGGGGAGTATTTCCTGAATCAGGGAACTAACTGTGTATTGGTAGCAAAACCCAGAGTCTGACTCAAATGACACAAGTTTGGATTAGATCTGGGAGCTGAAAATATTTATTAAGAAATCACATCCTAACTTCAACATTTATCTTCCACTGCTTTTAGAAGATAATTTATTATACTGTAGATGTCTCCTGACTTTTTTCAAGAATGTAAAGATTTATGAGTGTGTTAAGGTCCTTTGTAAAGTTTTTACAGGAAAATTTAAAAGGACAACGTAGTTTTTCATTAAAATGTGGAAAATGATTATCATGAACTGAAACATTTCAAATGCTGTTTTTTTCTAGTTTTACATGACAAATGATCACATATACTATATGAGATGAAAAGCCAGTTAACAGAGCCACAGTTTAAACTAGATCTATGGACCTGCATTTATATGATCCTATCTAGTTAAATCCTTTCTCTGACCTAGAAAAGATTAAACACCAAATCTGTGAATAAGACAAACAAGACACTTTTAAAATGCCATCAGAATTCCTGAAATAACAGACTGGTGGCAAGACCAGGTTGCATTGCATTAGCAGGCCTGCAGTGACTGTGGAGAGAGATTTAGTACAATGGCAGCAGAACCAGAGCACCCCCCACCCTAGCCCCCCTCTCCCTGTTCACAGTCCAGTGATCAGTTTGTTCCTGTAGAGGTCACTCTTCCAAAACAGAACAGTCTGTGCACCGGACCTTCCTCCCTGCCATTCTTCCTGTCCTGGCCTACCTTCACTTTTTTGCTTACACTGAGAGCTTGCATTAGATATTTTCATTTCATTGATGCCTAAATAACCAAATTTAATCCCTGCTATAGTACAAGGTTCAATGCCTGTCATAGCAAATACAAATAAAGTTTCAATTTTGCTAATTCTAAAAGGTATTTGATTTCAAAAAGGTTTGAACATTATTAATGGCAGTTCTAATGATGCTACCTAATTACTTTTTCAACTTAAATTTACGCTTAAAAAAAATAGGTTCTGCCCGTTGATGTAATTGAGTTTTCTTGAGTGATTCATTGAAGTTTAATCACCACAGTGAAGAAGTACACTATTAAAATTAGTCTTTTTCAGTGGCTGGGCCTAGTGATTTATAGGGTACTTGGAGGCCTGTAGTTTGAGGAAGCTTACAAATGCATTAGCGATATTGCTGTTGGTGTGATTGCTCCACTTTTCAGGAGCAGGATTTCTTTCTAATTCTTGTCACAATGGTTTGCCTGAAGGGTACTGAATAATTTCTCCATAGAAAAGGTCGTTCTTTCACAGGATCCAAGCTCAACACTATGTTGAGAAATTAGAAAATTTCCTTCTGCTGCTGCCAGGAGGATCTGAGGACGGTGCAATATTGAAGATGCTTTCTATGTCTGTAATAAATAATTACCAGCTTTGGTGTTACAGCTAATTTATTTATGGAAGTTGCATGTATATTTCTGTTGAAAGTTTCAGTACATAAATCTTCTGTACAGGGCAGCAATTAAATACAATGGGAATATATTAGTCAGTTTAATATAGAGGATGGAATAATAAATGTAGGCTGAGGGGAGCATACACTAAATTTGTTTTGTGTTTAGTTTTAGAGGATATAATTTTTAGCAGGTGATTGGGACAGAGATCTCATGGTAGTCCTTTGAACATAAGATCAAGGCCTCCTCCCCCATTACAGTTCTCTCTTTAGAGATCCACTTTCATTGCCTTGACTAAATCTTCAAATGTAATTAAAAAAAACATAGTAAAAGGGAAGGAATAATCTATTGTCTATGACATTACATTTTTGGGGGAAATGCTTCAACTAGGTGTCATCGAAGTGACATTTGTAGACTCTCAGACGTTAAGCCATGATCTTTAGAATATAAGGACAAATGATTATGAAAACATAACTCCTGTTATTTGACACTTTTCAATCAGGGAATATTTTCCCCATGTACCTAGAGATATCTTCCCCATATACCATGTTTCCACCTAGAGAAATGAGATACATAGATTGCGTGTATTACTTCAGTTTTATCTCACAGTGCACAACACTGCCTTTGGACTACATCGCAGAATGTAGTTTTTTGGATTTTAGTCAAACATTAGAGAGATCCACTTATCAAGAACAGTGTTTCTGGTGTCTGAGGCTACTGCTGTATGCGGTAGGCCTGTTAACAAAGCATTTTTCTTTTATAACACAATGAAACCTCTCCGTAAAAAGCTGTATTTTTGATACTGATTGTCTTAAGGAAAACAAATGATAGCTAAATAATATCTGTGATAACATGATATATGTGGAATCTGCCACAATTAGCGTTTGAATAAATACCAATGTGTCAGAGATTGATAAAATAAACTACAATTGATGGTCCTGTTTAAACAGTCTAGTCAAGAGCATATAAACCAGTCTGCCTCTCATTGTATCTGAAATTCTTATTTTTGTAGGTAAACAAATGCACATTCACTACTGATTGAATAGCCCCTTGAACTATGGTCTGCAGTTTGCATTTGGGTTAATCTTGTCGGTTTTAATATAGAGAGAAAAAAGGACAAAGCACCAGGGGTGGAATTGTTAGTGCTTTCACATCCACATTCCTCACATTTTGTCAGGATGATAAACTGTAGGTAATGGACAGTCCTTGTTTCACAGGACAACTGAGCCAACCGAAGCACAAAGAGCTTGCTAAAACGATCTCACAACATGTTTGGTCTCCTCTTTCTAGACAAGAATTTATTTGGGAATCCTGTGCCATGGGACTGCGCTCTTTAACCTTAACAATTACAGCTTCAAGCTGAAGAAACAGGAGCTGAAGGTTAAAATGATTTAAACACATGCTTCTAAATCTTACCCAAAACATAGCTGTTGTCACTTGGCATGCTAGTGCAGAGAACTCTGAACAGTGTCCTCTGTCC